CTTCCTTGTTAGGGGATCAATAAACCAAGTGGAATTTCGTCGTTTGCGCGGATATTAGGGACCTTAAGAATCGAACAAATCTGTGACGCGGACGCGACACCATAACCGAAAAAAACTGGGAACCAGAACATCGTCGGTGACGTCAACGTGACTAAAATGAGTACGTGGACGTTTCCGCAAAAGTGGTGAGTGACACGTGTGTTCATTAAATGGCGTCGTTTAAAGAGACTAGAAACTTAGTTTTGGAAGGGTATGTTGATGCCATTGACGAAGACGATATTATACTCCTCTATGACATTAATCAGTCAAAAAATCCCGAGTTTCCACACAAAAACTACGAACTCTTTAACTTCGATGCCTTGGAAGCGGTCGAGTGTGTAGCCGGCTGACTTTCGTGTCGAAACACAAGATATTCAAAGGCTGGCTGATGCTTTGGGTATCCCTCCGGTCATTAAGTGCCAGCAAATGAGTATATGTGATGGTACTGAGAGACTGTGTATGCTTTTGCGACGAAACGGCTCATCCCTGCCGCTTCAGTGATATGATTGCACTATTTCGACGTCCTGTTCCCTGGCGTTATAAACATGATCACCAAAGAAGTTATGAATTTCATTTACAACAATCACCAACAGAGACTAACCCAGTGGAATCAATTCCTTTTACTTACACATTATGCATTTCATTCACGTACACTGAGTAGTTTACAACAGTTGTAAAAAATGTAATTTGTGCAAATTATAATCGTGTGGTTGCAAGAAACAACAAGCGATTCCCAAACTACGAACGCAATTGAGAAATTATCAAACAGGAACAAGACTTTAAATTTACTGAAAGCCAGCCGAAAAACAAGAAATACACAAAAGGTTATTTTGCGCAATTACCCGGTAGGTTACATAACTCGGAAGTTTCGTATGGATTAGCAAGAAAATTTGAAAAGCGCTAGTTACAATAATTTACAATGGTTTCTTTCAACTTTCAAAAACTACATATCGCTAGTTTAAACTAAAGCAAACCTTGGAGGACAAGAAGTGCTTTTTACGGATGAATTCTCCACCATAATATTTCGGCACAGCTAAAAAGTAAACAGTGAGGGTCCGTTTTCGCAATAATATTGAG